CAGTGGCCAGTGGGCTCCCTGTGGCTTACCAGGCCATGTGCCCTCATCAAGGAGACAAGGTCCTCTTCCCCTCAACCCTGGCCCGGTGGTTGTGGGGGACTGCGGGCAGGGGAGCTCATAAGCATCAGGGGGGCACCTTGATGCTCCCCCCTTGTGAATGAGTAAGGGGTAAACATAATAACACCAGACTTTTGAAACATTCCTTTACTGAACAAAAACCAAAACAATAGTTTTTGACAAGTCCTTTATTAACTACTTGCCCTCTAGAAGATTTACCCCCCTTAATGACCAGGCCTCTTTTTGCTACTCGGCACTGCACTAATTCAACTGACAATTGCGTGGTCTTGCAATGCTGTACCTAAATGAAATTTAAGTCATTTTTTTCACACAAATAGAGCTTTCTTTCGGTGGTATTTGATCACCTGTGCGCTTTTTATTTTTCACGCTATAAACAAAAAAAGACTGAAAATTTTGAAAAATAAACAATATTTTTTACTTTAGGCTATAAAAAATATATAGTAAACTTAAAGTTAGTTATACATTTAGACCAAAATGTATTCTGCTACATTTATGTAGTAAAAAAAAATCCCAATAAGTGTATATTGATTGCTTTGTGTGGAAGTTATAGCGTCTACAAACTATGGTATAGATACTGAAATTTACGCCATTTTTTTGCTATACAGTGCTGCACTAGTTTAACTGACAATTGCGCGGTCATGCAACAAGGTACATAAACTAAATTTATGTCCTTTTTTTCACACAAATAGAGCTTTATTTTGGTGGTATTTGATCACCTGTTCGCTTTTTATTATGGGCACTATAAACAAAAAAATGTTTGAGAAAATTTTTTTTTTTTTTTTTAAAAAAACAAAATTTTTTTTTTTTTCTGTCATAAAAAATATCCAAAAAAAACTAAAATTTTGTCATAAATTTAGGCCAAAATGTATTCTGCTACATGTTTTTGGTTAAAAAAATCCCAATAAGTGTATATTGATTGCTTTGTGTGAAAGTTATAGCATCTACGAACTATGGTATAGATAATGGTTTTCCACAGCTTTTACTTTCTGACTGCTCATCACATTTATTGAGATGCTAAAATACCAGGATAGTACAAATACCCCCAAATGACCCATTTTCAGAAAGTAGACACCCTAAGCTATCTGCTGAGAGGCATATTGAGTCCATGGAAGATTTATTTTTTTTTCCGCAAGTTTCTGGAAAATGACAAAAACTTTTTTTTTATTTTTACACAAAGTTGTCATTTAAATGATATATTTCTCGCTCAAGCCATGAGTATATGTGGAATTACACCCTAAAATACATTCTGCTACTTCTACCGAGTATGGGGATACCACATGTGTGAGTCTTTTTGGGAGGCTAGCCACATACAGGAGCCTGAAATCCAATGACCACTTTGAAAGCCTGAAGGTGCGTAACTTCCACATTTCACTCCTTCACTACCTATCACAGTTTTGAAGGCCCTGACATGCCAGGATAGCACCCCCCCCCCAAATGACCCCTTTTTGGAAAGTAGACACCCCAAGGAATTTAAAAAGAGGCATGGTGAGTATTTTGCAGATCTCATTTTTCCTCACAAGGTTTTGAAATATAAAGAAAGAAAGGAAAAAACACTTGTAGCAACAAACGAGATCAAATTCCTTGGGGTGTCTACTTTCCAAAAAGTGGTCATTGGGGGGGGGGGAGGTTTGGTGCTATCCTGGCATTTCAGGGCCTCCGAAATTGTGATAGGTATTCAGGAAGTGTAATGAGGAAATAAAGCCCTTTAAAAGCCTGAAGGTGCTTATTGGATTTTGGGGTCCTGTACTTGGCTAGACTGCCAAAACGTCTCTCACATGTGGTACCCCCATACTCAGGAGACGTAGAAGAATGTATTTGGGGAGTAATTCCACATATACCCATGGCATGTGTGAGCAATGAATCATTTAAGTGACAATTTTTTTGTTTGTCATTTTCCAAAAACTTGTGGTAAAAAAATAAATTCTTCTATTGATTCAACATGCCTCTCAGCAAATAGTTTGGGGTGTCTACTTTCCAAAAATGGGTCGTTTTGGGTGGTGGGGGCATTCTTTGCCCAGCATTAGAAGTTTATGCCACACATCATTCACTCTTCTAACCACCTGAAAACCAAGCGTTTTCTGACACTTTTTGTTGACATGAAAAAAAATCAGTCTTTTTTGCTAGGAAATTAATTTAAACCCCAAACATTATATATTTTTTTTAAGCAAACACCCTAGTGAATAAAATGGTGGGTGCTGCAATGTTTTATGTCATATAGTACTCGCGCAGCGATTTTTCAATACACTTTTTTTACTTTTAATGCATAAAAACACAATATATTGGCCAATTGTTTGGTAAAATATAAACAATGATGGTATGCCGAGTAAATAGATACCAAACATGACATGCTTTACAACTGCGCATGCCCCGTGCAATGGTGACAAACTGCATACCTTTTTAATATCCATAGAGAACAATTTAAAAGCCGTTACAAGCTACCATTTTAGATTTACAGAGGAGTTCTAGTGTTAGAATTACTGCCCTTGATCTGACGTTTGTGGCAATACCACACATGCATGGTTTCAATACTGGCACAGGGTCAACGCTCACGAAATGCAGGTGCAGGGCGAAGTTATTTTGATTTTTATAATTATTTTTACACTGTCCCTTTAATTTTTTTTTTTTAGATCACTTTTAATGCTATCACAGGGAATGCAAATATCCCCTATAACTTCAATGGGCATTGTCATATATTCTTTTTTGAGAAATCTGGGGTCTATCAGACTCTAGATCTCTCCTCTGCCCTTACACTATCTAATAAAACCAAGATCAGATACTTTCCCAATTTACAAATAGCGCTGTTTATACCCTGAAGTGATGAAATGCTCGTAGCTTCTGATTTCTTAGACTATAGAGATGATTGGCACCATTCTGGTCTCCAATCAGCTCTATGGTCAGCTGGCAGAAACACCAGCTGCATTCTCAGGTTCCTTCCCCCGATGGCTCAGGACTGCCCGAGAAGGCCGTGGAAGGCAGCAGGGAAGAGGGGGATATTGTCTCCCGCTGCTTGTAAAAGCAATCCTACAGTTAATTAGCCACTAGGATTGCTTTTACTTGAAAGCCAATCACCGGCTGAAAAAAATGATACCAGGATGATTCCTGCACCTATAGGCATCATCCTGGTATAACCATTCAAAATCCAGTGATGTACCAGAACGTCACTGGTCCTTGTTGGGTATATATGCTATGTTCTTTTGTTTTTGTATGCAGCCTGTGGACTGAATGAAAAAATGAGAAGAAATCTCTGCCAGACACTTGTGTGTGGTATGCCCACCATTAGAATATACCGCCCTGCATCCACCCACTTTTAATGGTGGGCACACATTAGGTCACACTTTGCCACATGTGCCAGTTCCAAATGTCTAATGATTGTACAAATGTCTAAATAGTGGCACGCTTGAATAAAAATTGCCCACGTATAAGTGGTACCCCACCACCATATGGAAAAAGGATGACACCAAGTCCCAAACTATCTTGCCACTGCTCCCCATGTAGTCTGGGCATCCGGGGGGCTCCACGTGACTATCTATTCCCTTGTTAATCCGAAACTTATAAGTATAGCCTGTTGTCCTCTCCCAGATCTTCTACATCTTGACCCCATATCTGGCACCCTTGCTGGGGAGAAATTGTTTGAGTGCAAGGCGACCAGAAAAATTAATGAGGGACTCATCAATGCAGATTGTTTGCTGGAGAGTATAGATATCTGCAAATTTTTGGTTAAGGTGATTTGCAAGGGGCCAAATTTTGTGTAGCCAGTCAAATTCAGGGTCACCGTGATGACGGAGTGTGTTGTCTTTGAAATGCATAAAACACATTATACTCTCATATCTATGCCTGGCCATGGCAGCGGAGAACACAGGGGTATGATGAATCGAGTCTGTGGACCAATACAACCGCAATCCATTTTTTTTAGTAATGCCCATGTGGGGGGTTAGGCCCCCAAAAAATATAAATTCAGAAACCATAATGAGTTTCCATGAGAATGGTCTGGCTAGGTTTCAATTTGGGTTGGCGGCGATAAATTGTTGTGCATATAAATTGCTTTGATCCACAATCAATGCATACAGATCAATATACAGAGGTCCCCCTGCGCTCCACAGAATCTTTAGTCAAAGCCAGCTGCTATCACCTTTTCCCTATACCATAGGATATATGCAAATAACAAAAAATATATTGTGATGAAGCGCTCAGCTTATATAGTGTATAAAAAAACAATTAATTCATAAAATCCCTTCAGAAATAATAACAAATATCGTGATAACAATGATGAATTCGTGCTCACATAAATATAAAATATATAAAAGCCATTAATAAATAAATAGTGCCAATTCTCACTCCTATTGGGCCACCTAGTGGCTAACAAAAACAAGTGAAATATTTGATAAAGTGATAACACTTGTTCTGTGCAAAGTGACAGGTGTATCAAATTAAATAAATAAATTAAAACAGTTCAAATTACATGTGATACCAAACTGTGCAAATAATAAGTGTTCAATACACAGTGATTCACAACTTCATTCCATGCTGCAAACGTGCTCCTAGTGACACTCTGATGTGACTCCCCTGGATTTAGCCAAAATGCCTCCTCACATTCCAAATTCGACCCTTACGGGTCATAAAGCCTTAAGTATAAAGAATCTCAGCCTGGTTTTATTAATCCACTGACTCCACCGACTTAATTAAGGTCCCCCTCTGAGCAACAAATTCCTCTCAGACCACTCTCCTCACCATATGGACTCAAATATACAGGGCATATATGTAGAGAGAAAGACAGACCTCCATAGTGCAACACTGTTTTAATGCACTTAAAAGCTCCAAAAAAATTGAACACTCACATGTTTTCCAATGGAATACAGATCTTCCGTGAAAAACAGCTCCAAAAATCAAGGGGAAGAGTTAAATTTGCTATTTCCACCTGAATTCCAGGTTGGGCAGTGAATGGGGGAAGTACGGGTGCTGCAGAATTTGTGGACTGCCAATCAGGATTTGCAAGCACATCCAGAAGGATACTAGGGGCTCTACGGGCCTGTGTGCGAATTCTTGGTGGTTGCAGAACACTACTTGTGCTCGCCACCGCACAAGCTTGTACTACACTTATGGGACTCGCCACGTCACCAAGTCATACTGCAGTGCTGGTATTACACCGCATTCCAAATTATTATGCAAATTCTATTTAAGTGTCACAAACATTAAATATTTTGTTTTTCAGTTTAACTCATGGATGGCATTGTGTGTCAGGGCTCTTTTGATCACTGAAAACAATCTCGGACACCTGTGATAATTAGATTGGCCGGTGAGCCCAATTTAAGGAAAAACTACTAAAGGACGGTGTTCCACATTATTAAGCAGAGCACCATTTTCAAGCAATATGGGGAAGAAAAAGGATCTCTCTGCTGCCGAAAAGAGTGAAATAGTTCAATGCCTTGGACGAGGTATGAAAACATTAGATATTTCACGAAAACTTAAGCGGATTAATCGCACTATTAAGAGATTTGTGGCTGATTCAGAGCACAGACAGGTTCGTGCAGATAAAGGCACATTGAGGAAGATTTCTGCCAGATCCTTGCATTGGATCAAGAGAGCAGCTGCTAAAATACCATTACATAGCAGCAAACAGATATTTGAAGCTGCTGGTGCCTTTGAAGTCCCACGGACATCAAGGTGTAGAGTCCTCCAGAGTCTTGCAACTGTGCATAAACCTTCTATTCGGCCACCAATAACCAATGCTCAAAAGCAGAAGCGGCTGCATTGGGCAGAAAAATACATGAAGACTAATTTTCAAACAGTCCTGTTCACTGATGAGTGCCGTGCAACCCTGGATGGTCCAGATGGATAGAGTAGTGGATGGTTGGTGGACGGCCACCCTGTTCCAACAAGGCTGAGACGTCAGCAAGGCGGTGGTGGAGTCATGTGTTGGGCCAGAATCATGGGAACAGAGCTGGTCGGCCCCTTTAGGGTCCCCAAAGGTGTAAAGATGACCTCTGCAAAGTATGTGGAGCCTATGACTGACCACTTTCTTCCCTGGTACAGAAGGAAGAACTATTCTTTCCGTAATAAAATCATCTTCATGAATGACAATGTACCATCTCATGCTGCAAAGAATACCTCTGCATCAATGGCTGCTATGGGGATAAAAGGAGAGAAAGTCATGGTGTGGCTTCCATCCTCCCCTGACCTCAATCCTATTGAGACCCTTTGGAACATCCTCAAGCAAAAGATCGATGAGGGTGGGAGGACGTTTACATCCAAACAGCAGCTCTGGGAGGCTATTCTGACATCTTGCAAACAAATTCAAGCAGAAACTGTCCAAAAATTCACAAGTTCAATGGATGCAAGACTTGTGAAGCTATCAAATAAGGGGTCCTATGTGACTTGTTAAAATGTTTAAAAAGTTAAAATGTTGTTAAAAGTTTGATTGAAATAGCTTTTGATTTCAGTAAATATGCTGCAAACACAACAAATGACAATTTTCAGTTCTTTACAACCTATAAAGTGTTTTGAAACTTACTGTGCGTAATAATTTGGAACAGTGCATTGTAAGTTTTTTTATGTTTAAAAAAAATACTGTTATCATTAGGTTTGTTCAATAAAATTTGAATTGTACTCTTAATAGTTGATAACATGAGAATTATGCTGACTGTTATTTACATCAATTATTTAGGTAAATGAGAAAAATATAATTTGCATAATAATTTGGAACACGGTGTATTATTATTATTATACAGGATTTATATAGCACCAACAGTTTGCTCAGCGCTTTACAATATAACAGGAGACAATACAGCAACAATACAATTCAATACAAGAGGGTTAGGAGGGCCTGATCCTGGGAGCTTACAATCTAAGAGATATGTGAAAGACCAAGATGTACTAGACCGCTGGTACTCGACAGTTCACCAAAAGGTAACGTGGCACTAGTACTGGCACTCTGCTGCATATGAGAGTCCTCAAAATTTACCGGCAAGTGCTAACAGAGATCAGGCCTGATTCTGCAAACACTGCGGTTTTGTGTGCACTGTATCAAGTGACAGTGACCTACTGACACTGCACTTGCTGGGGGAGAAGGGAGGGGGGGGTAAGCGTAGGGGCTAAACGCAGGTGCTGGCAGGTGCCGGGGCTGATCCCACTAACACTACATTTTGGGGGACACTATACTAATGTGAACGCTGGTATATTGCTGATCTGATCAAAGATATTGATCCGTTCAGACACTATACTAGCAATGGAGGTTTATTGTGTATGAGCTTGCTCCTGGCAATCAAGGGGTTAAATGTGATGACTGGTGTACTGATGGGCAATCTGACGCTATCTGGGAGGGGCATGAAAACCACGGGAGCGTGAATCATGTATATATATATATAAAATATATATATATATATATGTGTGTGTGTGTGATTTTGCGCACCTGTGCTGCCCTGTAGCAGTATTTCTGCTATAGGGCGGTCAGGAAGCGGTTTCATAAGCGGTTTGTGTTATGACGCTGCGTTACTTTAACTGACAACTGTGCAGTCATGCAACGCTGCACCAAAATGAAATTTACATCCATTTTTCCCCACAAATTGAGCTTTCTTTTGGTGGTATTTGATCGCCTGTGCGTTTTTATTTTTTGCGCTATAAAAAAAAAGTCCGACAATTTTGAGAAAAAAAACAATATTTTGGACTTTTTGCTATAAATCATGTCCAGTAAAAAAATGTAAAAAAACAAATTTTGTGATAAATTTCAGCCAAAATGTATTCTGCGACGTCTTTGCTAAAAAAAATCCCAATATGTGTAAATTAATTGGTTTACATGAAAGTTATAGCATTTATAAATGGCGGTATAGATACTGAATTTTTTTTTTATACTAATAATAGTGGTGATCAGCAACTTATGGCGGCAATCAGCGACCTATGGCGGCGATCAGTGACTTATGGCGGGACTGTGGCGGACATTTTGACACTGGGGGGGAACTGACTTGGGGTCACTGACATCCCCATTGACACCAATACAGTGATCAGTGCAAAAAAAAAAACAGTGACACTGTACTAATGGCACTGGGGAGGAAGGGGTTAACATTGGGAGGCAATGAAAGGGTTAACTGTGTGAGGGGAGTGTTTTACTAGTGGGTAGGGGGTGTGTACTTCACTGTTGCATGCTGTCCCGGAAAGCTAAGCTCTGCTTTCCGTGACAGTGTGCTGGGAACTGACAGGGAGCAGAGCTGCATTGAAAACAATGCAGCTGTATTCTGTGTCACTGTTTGCTGGCAATCGCCAGGACCCGGCGGGTAATCACCGGCCAGGACCCGGTGATTGACACCCGTGGCCGCGATCAGTGCTGCGGATACGGCGGTCACGTGCCCCGCACGTGCCCCCTACCCCAGAATGCTGGATCACATTTATATACGTGGTCCTGCGCACAGGGGCCACCTTGTAGCAGTATATTTACTGCGTACAGTCCCCTAGTGGTTAAAATTTAAAAAAGCCAAATTAAAGGTTCCATCGTTGTAATCCATTATCAATCATGGCGTCCAGCATTGTCACGACTCCATCCCTCACCGAAATTAAATATTTAAAAAAAACACACCCGCTGACCCGTCTGTACCTGTTGAGCACTCGCCGCAATCAGTCCTTTGCTGGTCAAATGTATACAATTGGCCGAGCTAGTGGTGACGTCACCCCTAGCTCCACCAATTTGTGCTGTGATTGGCCAAAGCATTGCACCTGACCTGTGGTCAGGTGCATTGCTTTTGACAATCACAAGAAACTGTGAGAGAGCAGTGCTTTGTGGGGAGCGACAGCCCAGTAAACGCCCTTACCATTTTGTGTGTTTGCAAATGCACAAAGGAAAATGTTCAAATTGTATTTACATTCAACTTGAACATCAAGCCCATCCCTATAAATAGGTAGCGGTCCAGGCATGTCATATTTAAGGAATCTGTTTTATTGCTGATTGTTAAGGAGCCGGCAGCCTCCACCGAATAAAGAGCTACTTGATAAGTGGTAGGTGGCCACTGCGTCTTTAACTGCCAAGACCAATCTGCTGTCAGAGGGATTCCCTGCTGACAGCAGAGAGTAAGCAAAAGAATTTCCATCATTAGAAAAAAAAAAAAAAAAAAAAAAGAGCGTGGGAGTCCTCCCTCCAATCCATACCAAGACCATTGGGACAGCAAAAAAAATAAAAAAAAACCCAGTTGTGATTAAAAAACCACCAAAAGAAACCTCTATCTGTCTTTAAATAAATAATAAAAATAACATTTGGGTACAGTGTTGCATGACACAATTGCATGAGTAATAGTAATTCAAAGTGTGAGAGCACTGAAAGCTGAAAATTGGTCTGGACAGGAAGGAGGTGAAAGTGTCCGGTATTAAAGTGGTTAAACACTGTCATCCACAAGTGTCTTTATTGTTATAGTAGACATTAGTAGCCTCAAAATGTTTTGCCATAAGTCTTCAGCAGGAAGGAGAACAATACTTGCATCAGCAAAGTGTGCCCATTCAGGGTAGGCCAGAAAAGCATCTGACACTCCCATTGGAGCCTCCCCAATCACCCAAGCCCCAAACCAAGAAGGGCAGAAGGGAAGAAGAATTCAGCTAGAGACCAAGGACTATCCCATTGTCAAGCAAAAGCTGAAATTGGCTCAGTATAAAATACATTCAGCTTTGCACATTATATGACAGTGGCACAGGAGTGTCCTATTGTATTCAGTTATACTTACTGATTCTAAAAAAAATTTCAGCAACCTTATTCTTCATGTTCCTGCTCTTGTGACTTTTTCCCTCCTTGCTGTTGGACGTAGGTTGATTGGGGAAGCTCCCTTGTGGGAGTGCTTTTCTGGTCTAACATGAATGGACACCATTTGCAGATGTGACCACATTTTCAAGTAGAATTTTGTTCCTGATAAAGCCTTATGGTGAAACATGTTGGCGCTACTACTTGCCTACAATAACAATAAAAACACTCATGGGTGACACTATTAACATATGTATGCTTTATTATGCTGAGATGCATGGAATCTTTCACTTGTTTTAGATATATTTATATTTTAAAAAAGTTTTGTATTAATAAAATATATATCTTTATGTATTTTGTGTATTGTTTTTGGCACCTGTAACGACCCACTACCAGTATGCTTTATTTTTGTACTGTATGCTTACATTACTAAGAGATGTGGTACCCAGTTGGCCCTCCCACAATCCATCTCACTGTTTGTCCTACAATTTAGTGCCGCACATCATACACAGTTGCACTGACAGTCACAATGAAAGGAGTGGGTGTGGGCTGTCAGGTAGGTTGTACTGATCCCCATAATTTTCAATAGAAGCTCTGGCCAGAACACTAACATTACCACACATTCTAAAATGAGGGCCATGACAGGCCCTATAGTTTTTGCATGACTGCACAACTTCAAGAGAAGGCTTGCCTGGAGACAGCCCCATCCTCCTTGAAGGTTATTACGCTAGAAACACAAACTTATTCTTTCTGTAAAGGATGTAGAATGATAGAGAACAATGTACTGTATGTGAACTATGCAGTTCATTAAATATAAAGGGGCAAAAGGCTGTATGGCTACAAGCTCTAGTTATATAACTGTTATGCTAATGAAATCCCATGAGCAATACATTTTAAAACTTCAAAAGCAAATGTGTGTCAGTTTATATTACTCACTTGTATTATGCTGAAATGTATAGTCTTTTGTTAAACAGACATTCCTGTCAAACAAAGAAAAACATCTATTCAAGCAGGTATAATGGCCCATGCCAACCTGATAAACTCTTTTATTTTTTGTGTACACAGTCCTTGGTTTTCTCAGTGTCCCCCTTTTTTGGAGGTAGGCACTATTTTTCAATAGGGTCTCCACTTTGTCCACTAAAACATTCTGATCTGTCTCAGAAACATCACAACACACAATACGTTTTATATGATGGGGGGCACAGTCTCTGATGGGGGTGCTGCTTCTGATTGAGTGCTGCGCTGAACGAGTGCGAAGCAGTTAAACACAGCAGTCTAATTATGCCTTCTCTACTTTCACAGGTAAATGCATCTTTCTCCTACCTCCGCTCTTAACTAGAAAAACGCACTGACTCCTGCTGCTTTCTCTGGGTAAATGCATCTTTCTCCTACCTCCGCTCTTAACTAGAAAAAACGCATTGACTCCTGTTAAATTCAGAACAAATGGTGTATTTATATTTGTGTATATGTTGACCAGTCCTCACCTCCAGCTGCACCCAGTTTACGACTAGCCTGTTCCCAATGAAACATCCCCCACTATTCATGTGATCCTTATCAGCTTCTAATTGGGGTAGAGTTGAATGCTCATTTGAGCATCTCCCTATAAATTTAGATCATCTCATGGGGGAGATCATTGATGGGGAGCACAGTCTCTGATGGGGGTGCTGCTTCTGATAGAGTGCTGCGCTGAACGAGTGCGAAGCAGTTAAACACAGCAGTTGAACTAAAGCAGGAGAACTGAAGCAGCAGGAAGATACAACAACAGCAAGAAACTCTACTGCATGCTGGACAGCCCCCTGCATATCATCTCCCTACTATTGCTCTCATCACCTCCCCAAAATGCCTCTTCCACTCCTCTTTCTCATTTTCCTCTCCTCCGTTCCCAAAATCCATTCACTATATCCCTCTGGTCCTCCCAAACATTTGTATATTGTGTCCTCACTGCTTTCTTCGCACCCACCACCTCCTCCTATTACTCCACTCTCCCACTGACCCGAACACCTCCACTAGTAGTTTCTCACGCTCCTGCACATCCCGCTCCCATGCCACCTTTCTCACCCTTCTCCTCCTCCTAACCGCGGGGGACATCTCCCCGAATCCTGGCCCTCCACCACCTTCCTCACCCGCACAACACCCTCCCGCCTCCACGTCCTGCCACAACCCCCGCAACTTAGTATCTGTCCCCCTGCTCCCTAAAATCTCCCCCCCCGTTTTCATGTGCACTCCTGAACGCCCGATCGG